TATAATGCTCGAACCACCGCATATAATGGTGAAAGCACCGCGCGTAACGCTAACTGCGTATAATGACGAAAGCACCGCGTATAATGTTGGAAGCACCGCGTATAATGCTCGAACCACCGCGTATAATGGTATTTGTTGGTATTTGTGCTAACCAGGATCTGTTTATCAGTTTATGCTAACCGGGAGAAAGTAATATTGTAAAGTTGGATTTGTGAACAGAAGTGAGTACGTCAGTTTATACCTACGGATATCAGTCTATTTTGATTTGCATGTATATATCATAACTAATTTAGTAATTTACATTGTATTCACATATTTAGATCGAATAAAATATCTGTACGATACATAAATCCAGCTTCTGTGGTCTGAAGTTCTGGCGAACCAGTAAGTACAGATACAGCCGATTCCGTTTGACCGTGAAACAACACGCGTTCGCAAAGCACGTTGAGCTGTTCAAAATTGACCGTTTCTAGCAACATATTGTAAACACTGGACTGGACTTTGGACTATGGACTTTGGACTTTCGATTTTGAAATTATATTTTTAAGATTTTCGTATAATTATATTAATTAAAATCTAAACAGAGAACGAAAATTTGTGCATGATATAATATTCAAGGTAAAAAATACTATCAGTTATATAGGTATACCAGTGCAATTTCATAGATATAGCCTGTGGGATAACAGGATCATCTCAGTAATATTTTTTATTTAATATTTAAATTTTATTATAATATTTGTATTTATAGTATGTATAGTACAATTTATACTGCAGAACTTCTTCTTTATCGTATAGATAATAGATTTATAGAAACAAATGTGACAAAAGTATCTTGGCAAATACAAAATATTGAGAAACTATCACGTATAAGCACAGTGCGCAAAAATACTAATGACGGTATTGTTCATCTTTGCATAATAGTTTACACCGATTTAGCGCCTGCCTAAATAGGCTGTGTTTACAATGTATTTTGTCTGTGTCAGTTTTAGCTTTTCATAAATCAAATGTATTCAGCCATAGTGAACACGAAAACTCTCATAGTCATCATACTTTATAAAATACGAATGTATGATACATTATTAATTGGTAGTACTGATTACTTTATGATAATAGAACCACAGTAAATGTTTGAACCTCTTGATGAGTCGAGCAAACTTTGTGATGAAAATTTTACATCATTAACATCTAAATTGCAAGTAACCGAACTTGAGGTATTCCTTAAATTAAAATCTCTTAGGGACCGGTCATTATTTATGGTGGGGGGTGGCACCGAAGAGAAAAGGGTTGGGTAAACTAAATGTTGAGTAAGTAAAAGGTTGGGTAAATGAAAAACAAAACAACTCAAGGGTTGCAGGGCTGCCAACTCTCCCGGATTATCCGGGAGTTTCAAGATTTTGGACCTAATCTCCCACTCTCCAGATTTTGTCTTAATTCTCCCGGATTAGGATAATCACCAACGTCGATTTATGCACTAGCCATTTGATTCTTTGTTGTCAAAGGTTTTAACAATAAAAATTATTTGCGTTGCACATTAAAACTTCGTTTTGCTGGAAAAATAAAATTCTTTCGTTGCTGCCGGCTGCGTTGCTTTTAATCAGCGGTTGAATGGCGCAATTTTCCGTAAACACTTCATCTTACAGGGATTTTTTTACTCGTATTGACGCCATTAAAAATGTCGATATTTTATTAAACTAGTACATAATATGTGAAACTTGAAATCAACAGTTATTTGTGTTGATAATGAAGTTGGACAATAAACCAGTGTATACAGTATATCTATATACCAGCTGGTATTTACAACTGCATAGTTGGCTTTTCGATAATGACGTCATTTCCGACGTGACGTCATCGATTTCAATGGAATATCAATTCTCCAGATTTGAAAACTTCCAGGGTTGGCAGCCCTGGGGTTGGGTAATAAAAAATTATTGTCATTTCCAAAGCATGACTCACTGAAGTATTGGGGACTAAAAAGCAATGGCAACAGTAGGCCCTACTCTGGGGCGATAACGAGATAATGCGAGTTTAAGCAATTTTAGGTGATTTAAGCAAAATATGCAATTTAAGCAATGCGAGTTTGAGCGATATAGGGCAATGTAGGAAAACAATTAAAATTTTAGGGAATGCTGTTTTAGGTGTTTAGAGGTAATTTCAGGAATATACAACTATATCCCTGATGACTCCAATGAAATTACCATTAACCTATGCCAAGCATCCAAACATGAGTGTTCCCACAAACACACACACATGCAGTGTATGAAGCAAAATATACAATTTAACAAAAAAAGTTGAAGTCTGCTTGAGGGGGTTCTGGAAACAAACAATACACTGTATGCGCATGATGATTAAGTGTTTAAAGGGTAAATAAGCTCAATATTCATGACTTTTTCCATCCATTGTCTATTTCGAAGCCATTGGGGTATTATTAAATTCATGACACAATTATAATACATGACCACATGTTCACATCATATGCAATTGCAAACAATTTTCAAAGGAGTAGGGTACAGAATTGCAATATAACAACATATAAGTAAATTATACATGTCATGAACTTACCAGTTTGTGCTGAGTTAAATTTAAAAATTTTTATGACATCAAATATTATTTATTTATTTGCAAATCAAAACATTTTAAAATTCTCGTGTTTTGTTTTGTATTGCGCCCGCGATATATTAATGGTATTAACCGCTGCGAATATGATATACATTTTTAATACATTACATTTGCGCTCAAAAGTTCAGGAAGTGAGTTTCTAGAAAGGATGAAAACTCCGTTTTATATATGGTATGTAAAAGGTAATCGTTGTTTACTGTTTATTTTGTATTCAGGTATTGGGAATAAGCGATGAGAGTTGCAAAAGTTGCAAATGTAGTCTGTCTTTCTTTGACGTCATCATGCAACTATTTAATATTGTGTTACACTCATTATTCATTATTTATTCGCAGCAATTAGCCTTCTATAAGCCATACAAATGATCATAGCTTATAACCCACCTTGCCTTTAGCATTGATCCTATATATAATGAATTAACATAACTAACTTGATTATGTTGCTAGTCGAGTATGGGACCTATGGGTCTTCTAGATCCTAGAGTAGCACAATTAAGGCCACATAAAAAAAAATTAGTTGGTTAGCGTCCCCGCCCGCCCACAAAAAAGGCCCCGCTCAGGATTTTTTTTTTATTTTTTATTTTAAAAAACGACTTTTATTGATCAACAGGCTCTAATATATGTAGTATTTCTGTTGACTGTAGTCAATTGTGTTAATAATTTGCGAAATTGCGTGCGAAAATGACGGTATGAATTATATTTTGAAATATATAAAAAAAATATCTGTACTGCGCAAGAAAATCCAGTTTCGGACCTAACAGTGAGTAAAACCAAGGCGTTAAAAGTTAGTAAAAATTAAAAAAAAAGCGCCCGCCCGCCCACTTTTTGGCAAAAGCTAAGGACGCTAACCAACTATTTTTTTTTATATGGCCTAATATAAAGTCTCCGTAAGGCGGTATATTAAAGACTGTTCTTATTTATGCATGACCTTTGACTATTAAGTGGCCAAAAATTGTGCCTACAGTAGTCAACTTATTCCACTATCCAGGTTGCATCACTTTTGATTGCAAAACACCTGGGTTTATTTTATGTATATTTCCTGGTTTATTCAGACTGCAGAAAATTTCACAGTGGTAAAGGACATATGTGACAACTGAATGGTACCTTTTGTAAATTTTTTGGCCAGGGGTGGGTATTTATTTTTTAATTGATATTTGAGGTTGGGTAATCAGTGGCGTAGCTAGTGGTCCTGCTTGTCCTGCCCAGCAGGACTAAAGATTTTCCCAAATTTCCTTACTAAAACATTACTATATTTATCTTGAAGCTTTAAAAAAGTATTATTATTATATTGTTATTTTGTATCATTTTCTCGTCTTTTTCATTATTATTTTTTAAAAGTTTTCCGTATTCTATTACATTTGCACAATTTTACAGCTTGCCGTGTCTGTTACCTAGCAACTGCAACTCTACAAAAGCTCATTTCTGGGCAATATATTGATTTACACGTGCTCGTGTTTCGGTCCTGCAGGACTTGCTAGTATATTTCATAGTAAATTCATAAAGGAAATCTTGGTTTCTGATTGGATAATTAGGTCTGCGCATGCTCAAACCGGCTGTTTACAAATGCGAAGTCCTGCTCTCTCGAAATGGCAGGACTTGGCCTTGTATTGTCTTTTCTTGCGAGCTTTCCGCGTGATTAAATCCACTTTTTACTAACTCTGTCAAGATTACTCAAGTGATGAATATGGAAATCAACCAGCGTGGAAGCCAATTGTGATTTGGATATAATTTCTGGCTTCTGCTAAGATATTTTAGCTCACGAAATGCATATCAACAGAATCGATTGTGTATTTTGTGTCGTATTGATATATAAAATATGAACGTATTATTTGCCAGTTCATCTGCTTTACGCATTGCATGAAACACGAGTGCTTAATATGGAGTTTAAAAATGATATAGCTACCAATTTAGATTTACAAAGTTTATGTTATTTATGTAGATATTTGGCCGCATTTTACACTATATTTACTTTAAACGCTACGGCAATTTTATTATTAAATACCACAGCCATACGCATAATACCATAGTTAACCATACGCATAGCGTACTGAATTATACAATCAGAGTGCCAAGCGTAGTGGTTCGTAGACTCGTAGTTGATACCACTCCGTTTAATATAGTTTATTTTAACACAGTAATTTTTTAACGAATGCTAGCCGTATATATAGTGTTGTAAATTCAACAGGCACTACAACAATTGTTGAGTTTATACGCAATTGCACGTTGACCAAGTGAAAGATCATATTACAGACGTGTATTGAAAACATGATATTTTCCTCTTACATGACTTGACTATATTTAGCTAAATTTTTAAGTTGAAAAATATATAGGGAAATATGATAAATATGGAAATACGATTTCAAAAATTATCAAAAATTTTCCACTAAATCACACAATTTTTTGATGTTCTCTTTGGAGTATTTCGCCGTGAAATCGCAGGAAATGGCCATTCCAGAATTCTAAAATTAAAAATTTTCCGGGGGACATGCCCCCGAACCCCCCTAGAATGTGTGAGTTTTAGAGCAGGACCTGTAGAATTTCGCTAGCTACGCCACTGTCAGACGTGCCAACTCTCACGGATTTCCCGTGTGACTCACGAATTCAGGCATTATCTCACGGACTCACGGAAATATTTTCAAATCTCACGGATTTTGAAATTTTAACCACCACTAGACTTTAAAATTGGAGTGTTTGAAATGAAATAAAACCAGCCATTGACGGTAAATCTAATTTGTTTAGTGTTTATTTACTCATTACCAAGTAGTAGTCTAACTGCTCCGCCATTTTCAATAACCTAAGCGGTATGCTCCATTAATGTATCGCCAGTGCAGAGCGGGAAATTTACTGCAAGAAAATGGCGGAAGCAGATCGAAACTTCTCAAATTGGCCAATGAGCTATTCCTGTTTTATATTCATATTATCCCACATTGAGGAACTTGATTTTTACCCCCCCCCCCTCCCCCTAGCAATATGCAAGGTTGAAAATGCGAGTGTTTGAAAAACATCCCCTTCCTCTGGAATTCCAAGGTTCCTCAACAGGGGGTGTGTGGGATAAAAATTGGAATAGTATCCCGAATTAGTAAGATACACTCGTATAGACTAAGACCAGGTTGAATTTGTAAGTAAACTGTTGAGTTAAAGTTTTATTTTGGAGGACGGTAATTAAAAATTGCTATGTGGAACATGGATCAGTCATCTACAAGCAATTATTACAGTAATTGTCTTATCCAGAAATACCCCACATTTTCAGTATTTTATCTCCAGAAATAAGAGATCAATCTCAAGAAATTTTCTATCAGATCTCCAGATTCGTTGCGGTTGGAGGTTGGCAGGTCTGCACTGTGGGTAATCAATTTTTTTTACTTTTTAATGGTTGGGTCAGCAAAATTTTTGCTAGGAAAAACATTTCTCTTCGGTGCCACCCC